CACGCTGTAGTGTCCCTCCTGGTCGTTCTCCAGGCTCCGCACGACCACAGGTGTGGAGCTGCCCTCAATGTACAGGGGGTACTCTTTGATCCTGTACTGGGAGGAGGGCTGGCTCTGGCTGTGCAGGTAGACGCGGTGGTGCCCCGTCCCGTTCCTCGCAGCCAGGTTGGGCATACTCCCTGAATTGGAAGAGACCAGGTTGCCCGCCGATTTGTGCCTTTGCCTCTGCCGCTCTCTGGCTTTCGATGGGGAGTCCTCTGCCAGGGTGGAGTAGTTGGGGTTCATCTGAGCGGGGTAGTAGTGCTCAGAGCTGGAATGGCTGGTGCAGGAAGAGCAGTCGTCCATGGGGTCAGAGCCGTTACTGCTACGAGTCCTTGGGGTGTAGAAATCGGGGCTCCCTGTCTCATTTTCCGAGCCGAGGAGCTTGCCTTGTGACTCCAAACTGGAGCTCCGGTGTCTAAAGTGCTGAGCTAAGCTGTGCAGTCTGGTTGGGCTGATGTCTACTGACCTGCAGGCACCAGGAAAAAAAGATCAACTCTGGTTAAGCTAACAGGACGAAGCACTCCCCATCCCCTTCTGCACACAAGGCCAGCTCTGCTGGCAACAAAATCTGAGGGCGCTGAAAACCTGGAGCCTTCCAGCACCGTGTGGGGCCTCTGGCTGCAAAGCAACCTGCTTCTCTGCAGTGTTTGGAGCGATCAGGTCCTGTTCCTGCCCTCTCCAGTCTCCTTGGTGGGACACAAAGCCTTGCCCAGCCCGATTCCTCAGTGGCTTGCCACCCTGGGAAAGTGCCAGTCTGAGCGGTGATACCTGGAGACCTCAAGCCCTGGCTCTGCTGGTGCAGCCCTGGGGCAGAGCCGTCTGAACCAGCACCATCCTTGTGCTGCCACGCTCACCTCGCTGCTGCTCTACAAATCCTGAGACCTTAGCCTCAGAGGTGGTGGGATTCCCTTGCAAGTGGCTTGTGAATGCCCTGCACAGGTAACTCTACCTGGGGTGAGACAGACAGACAGACTGCCCAGAACTATCCTAGAATGCAGTGATTTCTCCATTGGCCTTTGAAAAGTCACCTCTCTCATGCTGCCAAGTTTTCGTGGAGCCTAGCTGAGGGTAGCACATGTAAGACTGTGTCAGTGGGTGCCATCTCTTCAGGCAATCGCCCCAAAATGCAAGTTTACAAGGCTCCACTCGGGTCCAAGTCTGAGTGGTCTCTATTCACTACAACCGTTTGGAGAGCTTCAGCCATCCGTGCAAGGAGCAGGAACACCCCGTGACAAGTCACACACTTGCATGACAACCAGCCAAGGCCAGGGCACACCGCTCATGAATGAGCCACAGACTGAGCAAGGGCTGTTTCAAACACCCAAATGGCCCCTAACGCGGTCAAGGCCACTTGCCAAGCACTGCACCAAGCTCATTTCTTATGCAGCTCGGCTCCAGAGTTAACAAACATTGCACTCTCGCTGCGTATTCCCAGCAAAATACTTGTAACAGCCTTAAGCCGAGGCCTTAATGCCTTGTACTGTCTCTGCCCGGAGTCGGACGTGTCGGCAGGACTTGATTTGTGCTGAGCTACCTGATGGTGGCACCTGCCCTTAGGGCAGGACACGTGACAGCACGCAGCTTGGCCTCAGCTCTGCTTCCTGCAGTGTCCGTGGGGTTTGCCACGAAAGCAAAATAACAAAGAAGACGAACAGTTTGTAGAAAAACTGCCAAAAATTGGGAGTCAAAGTGGGCCACGCACATCAAATCACCTCCCTTACACCCTTCAGCATTCTCCTCTGTCAACCCTGGGCTTATTCCACTGCCACTTGGATCCTCGGGTGGATTGCTTTATGCAGGTTCCCTCTCCACGTAAGATCACACGTGCAAACATTTTATCTGTGAGAGAGAACTAACACCACCCAACATTTTGTATCAGACAGGAAACAACGTGTTCTCTCCAGCTCGACCCACGGAGGAATTTACTGCAGAATTTAGCAGTAGCACCACAGCCAGGGTAGATTTAGATTAGATGTTAGGAAAAAGTTCTTTACAGTGAGGGTGGTGAGACACTGGCACAGGTTGCCCAGAGAGATGCTGGAGGCTCCATCCCTGGAGACACTCAAGGTCAGGCTTGACGGGGCTCTGAGCAACCTGATCCAGTTAAAGGTGTCCCTGCTCACTGCAGGGGGGCTGGACTGGATGGCCTTTAAAGGTCCCTTCTAGACCAACACATTCTTTGATTTTATAATTCTATGATTCTATCCCTTTTAAACCTAGCATGAGGTTTGTAGTGCCTATAAACAGTCTCTGAGATGAAAAGTCCCAGTGGAAGAAAAGCTTGATTGCTTTGAGGGGAAGATGAGGGGCAGGATCTCTATCTAAAGTGATTTCCAGTTCTCAGTTTGGGACAAATTCCCTACTGGCAACAGTACATGAGACTTACATGTGAATAGGACTGGTTTGTGTCCTTTCCTGAGCTGGGTTATTAATTCATATCCTGGGGGAAGGATCAAAGAGTATTTATTTCAGGGTAAGCAAGGTGAGACCGGAGCCGGGCAGACTTACCGCGTGGAGTGGACGTAGTGCGGACTGCGTACCCGTAGGTCTGGTGTCGACGGCATGCTGGACTGGGAGTTCCAGTGGGGAAGGCTCCGGATGGGGCTGTTCTGCAGCGAGCTGCTGCCTCCGGCCTCGGCACAGCTCCCGGTGCTGGGGAACCGCTTGTGACTACTGCAGAGCAAACACCCTGCTTCAGTTCCTGGGCAGGAATTTGGGGAAGGGGCTCACAGACCTCTTTGCAGATCTCAGGCACGTGCCCATGATCTCGCTGGGGGGAGTGGGAGTTGGGGCAGTTGCTGCTCTGAGCTGCATCCTGGAGCTCGAGCTTCTGCATAGCTGGAGGTGAAAGCCAAGCCCTGTCAAAGCCCTCAGATGATCCACCATCCTGCCTTTCTGTATATTTAAAAACAACACTGAGATACCAAGCAGCAGTCATGTGGCTGCAGCCTATTTTTATGACATGCCTACTGGCCAGAACACCTAAAAGTCTCCTCTTGTTAAGGGACAGCTTTGTAAATTCTGAAAGGGCTCACACCCACCCCTCCTGAAAGCAGGAAGGACTGTCTCCATGATGGAGCTTCAAGATAGCTGGCTCACCTGGAATGACTGTGTGAGGAGCGTTTCTTGACCTTCTCATAGGGTTCATCCAAGGATGACTCACTCCACATCTTGGGTTTGATGGGGGACTTGTCATAGTCACTGCGGTGGTAATGCATCTGGCGGAGGCCTTCCAGCGACTGCGGAGGAGGAGGCCTGTTGTGCAAAGGTGGCCGGGGAGGGAGTCCTTTGTGAGGGGAATGGAGAGGGGATATTGTGCTGGTGACCTGAGAATCCTCTGTGAAGAGAGGAAGGGAGAGAGGTGACGGTTGTGTGAGCCCGCCACTGGTAGCACAACCCCCAGGACACCACCACACCACCAGAACTTGCTTCCTTACCCCACTTCTTTTGGTTGCATTCAGGACCAACCCTGAAGACCCAACTTTCCAAAGTGCACCGGCTGACATTCCCATTTTGGGAGGGAACGGCCAGTAAGACAAAAGCAATTAAAACAACTGAAACCTGAAGAGAAAATAAGGGGCATCCTGGGATGGTCTTCTGAAAAATTCAGAGCAGTAACCACAGCAATACTCATTGCTCCAGGCTTGATGTCTGACTACAAGGTGGAGTGTGGGGTCAGGAGAAACCAACCATTTTTGCTACTGGGATGTTTGGGTAGATTATTATACAGAACAGTTTCTCCATTTTGAGTGTCCATCAGGCGTTTGCACATCCCTCCCTGTTTCCTTCCCGCTCTCTAGAACATAAAGCAGCCAACATACCATCCTCAAGAACGAGGGCATCCGAGAGCGAGCTGTCTTCACTGGCAATGTTTCCTTCTGAAGGGAAGAAAGCATAAAGATGGTCAGACGGTCTCCGAGAATCGCGGTGACCAGGGGCTGAACTGCATGCTGATCTTTGTCCACTGAGTCTTAGCTTCAAGCAGTCACCCACATCTTCCTCCTCGCACAGCCGAGAGGCGAGATTCCCACAAATGACTGACTCAGCCCACTCTCAAGTCTCGGAGGGCAGAGCTGCAGGCTAAGCCTCTCACTAGCAGGCTGCCTTTCAAGGAGCTGCTCACTCTTTTCAGTTAATGGGGGCACGGGGGCTGGACTGGATGATCTTTTGAGGTCCCTTCCAAACCCTAACTTTCTGTGATTCTGTGACTAAGACCGAGTCACAACGGAGATCTGAGATTCCCCGGAGGATGCGAAACAGCACGGTGCTATTAGCCAGATTTGCATCTCAGGCCTTAAGGACTCTGGGTTTGATCTCCACTTTCTTAAAATGATCACCCTGTTGCTAACTAAAGGCTCACAGTATGTACCAGTCTTGTGAATTCAAGGAAGAACGCTTCCTGAGCATCCTCTGTAGGAGCAGGAGAATCATAGAATCACAGAACAATTCAGGTTGGAAAAGACCCTTGGGATCATCAAGTCCAACCATTAACCCTACACTACGAGGTCACCCCTAAACCATATCACCCAACACCACATCTAAGCGACACTTGAACACATCCAGGGATGGCGACTCAACCCCCTCCCTAGGCAGTCTGTTCCAGTGTCTGACCACTCTTTCTGTGAAGAATTTCTTCCTAATGTACAGCCTAAACTTGCCCTGTTGCAACTTGCAACCATTCCCCCTGGTTCTGTCCCTAATTACCTGTGAGAAGAGACCAGCACCAACCTCTCTACAATGTCCTTTCAAGTAACTGTAGAGCATGATGAGCTCCCTCAATCACTCCTCATAAGGTCTGTTCTCCAGGCCCTTCACCAGCTTTGTTGCCCTCTTCTGCACTCGCTCCAACACCTCGATATCTCTCTTATACTGAGGTGCCCAAAACTGAACACAGTACTCAAGGTGTGGCATGAGAAGCTCTCATGTCCTTGGCTTGCACATGTTTGAGCTGCCTCCCACAGCCTCTGTCCTCATGGCTGTCTGTTATCCCTGACTGCAGCACAACTTGGTACCCAGGTCACAAATACAACAGCTCTAATCTCAGTTCCTGCTACAAAGGCAGAGAGAAAAGCTCTGAAAGTCAAAGGGAAAGGGCAAAATCAGCAAGGGAGAAAGAACTGCAGCAGCAAGTTAATGGATTTCATGAAAAACCAATCAACAACCTAGGAAACCATAAAGCGCCCTGAGAATTACACTGTTAAAAAAAAAAAGCATCTGAACACAGCAATGACAGTGCTACCACTTTGATTTTACAGATGCCTTTCAGCTAGAGAGCTCACCCCAATCTGCTAACATTAATTACATTTGTACAGCACCGCTCCGGAGGAGACGTTAACAGAGCAATTTTATAGGTGAATAGAGGAGTCACCGTCTGCTTCCCTGACACACTTACCATCTACAGCACAACCCCGCTCTTTGCGCCGTGAACCAGCACGTCCCGAACGCACAGCACGCGCCCAGACGCCCACCTGAGAGCACGCTGGTACGGGAGAGCCCAGCCCGACTGTCAGCACCCACAGAGTCCTCCAGACAGGAGAAGGAAGAGGAGGGAGGGGAAATCCGTGTCTCACGGCAAGAATTTTGCTCCCTGCCCTCCCCAGGCCCTTCTGTGATGCGGTGAGCACTAAGTCCCACTTACCGTCGATGATCAGGGAGGCTCTCTGAGTTGGCTTCTTTCCAGATTTGATGCGATATTCATTGATGGCGTTTTCGATCTCCTGCAGTTTTTTCAGTGCGTTCAGGTAGGATGTCTTCCTCTGCTTCTTCAGCTTTTTGCTGACGTTTGGGTCGCTCGCCAGGCGTCGGGCGGCCTCCGTGATCTGGGACTGAATGGCAAACTCCCTCTCCAGGCGTTCCAGCTCTGCCTCCTGGGGAAAGGCAAGTGGATTCTGGCTACCATCAAACCCTCCCAGCCCAGCTATGGGGAAGCTCCTCCTGAACCTGGCCAGTGGCCTCCAACCAAGGCTCTCCATAATCAAAGCATCCACGATCACACTGCTCCCCTCATCTCAGGGCTCCCTGAGCACACCCTCCCACCATCATGTGCTCCCACAAGTGCCTGGGAGCACAGCTGGGGAAGGGATGACCCACCCAAGGAGGACGTGTGTGCTCCAGCCCTAACACTGCTGTGCTGTTGGCTTTTCATGCAGTTCTACACGGCCTTGTTCAACGAGGCACCACTGCTGACACATCCATCATTCCACACCTCTCTCTGTGTGACTCCTGCCTCCCACCCGCTCCTTCTCCCTGTTTCCCATCTCTGTATTCGAGCCCTGTCTGATTTCAGGGCTATGTACTGATGCTAAGCTACAGCTTTAACCTTCCTGACAGGTTTGCTTGGCACCCACTACACTCTTTGGGGTAAAAGAGCCAAAAAAGGGCTAACTCCTGTCTGGTGTACGGCTGTCAAAACCCAAGGGAGGGTACGAGCTGAAGTAATTATGGGCTGCTGCCACCGACTGCAACAGAAAATTGTCTTCTTGAGTTAAGGGTGATGTCAGAGCGAGCAGTGTGTGACAGCAAGCCTTCTGCAGGCCAAAAAGGACTCGTGTTTCCAGCATGAGCCTCTGGAGGGTCTCAGCTCAATCTTTAAATGCAACCACGTGTAGCCTGGAATCTACGTACCGATTTTTAGTTATCTTCCAAAGTCAAGGGGATTAGGCGATTTTATGCCATCGTAGAGGCTGATATAGAGCTCCCTGGTCTGGAGCAGGACCCCAAGCTGTGAGCTGCAAAGGGACTCGCTAATCTGCAATGAATCTGGTGACCTTCCCCAGCTCGATGGACTTTTTGGTGTTGGTTTGCTCGAAAGGGCAACACAGCCCATTGTGAATTTGGGAAAAACTGACGAGCTTCCCTTTTAGTGAATGGTGGGAGTTCAGACTGCAAGCGCTGGCAGCCACACATTAATCATGGAGATCCCCACTACGCAAATTCAAATCCTTTCTCTTTGTCTAGCGACAGCGCACGCTGCAAGAGCTGATGCTGTGGGATTTAATCAGACTGAAGTCGCTCTCTGAAGCTTTTATTCTGGGCTTCTGGCTTTAAAAAAAAAAATCCCTTCACTGTCAGCGGTGAGTCAGCATTGCCTTAAAACTGTAATTATCATTTCCCTCACTTCATTGAAGACTGAACCCATCTCCCATTTTTTTAACAAATACCTTTTTGCTTTGAAGAGTTTATAAGCTCTATCAGTGCCCAACTTATTAAAAGAGAATTTAACACCACAGAATTTTAAGGCCTGGAATTTTGCCGTCATCTGGTAAAATCCTTCTCTGAGTCAAGAATTATGGACCAGCTAGAGACGATTATCAAGAAATACAACAGGACCCTTCCCTGCAAGTCTTGGTCTGACAAAGCTCTGACTAAAGGTACGGTGCGTTTGATGTGAGCTGTCACTTCAGACCCTCACAGATTCAGTTCTAAATTATTCAGTATATCCTAGAAAAAACATATTAATTTTCCTCCCAGCTATAACTGTCTATTTTCTTCCAGTGAGGTCCCTATAAATAAAGCCTCAGCAAATGAGGGCTATCATCTATGTTCAGATGGAAGTGCCTTGCTTCAGGTCCTTGTCACAGCTGGTAATATCGGTCCTGAATTTACGTGACTGCGGGAGTATTTTACCTTTGGTTTTAAATTGAGTTTCTAGTGTTTGCACTTGCTGAAAAGCACATGAAAATCATCATTGGCCTCTCCAAAACGCTCTCAAATTGGCAGCCAAATAAACACAGCTTGACATCATTCTTCGAGAAAAGAAATTTATGGTTTTAAAACACAGTCTCGAAGTTTGAGGGATGAAAAGGGAGGTAGAGAACAGCTGAGTCAGCGTGTTTGAATTGCTGATGCCAAAAGGCAGAGCGCCCGCAACGGGGAGGAGTTGCTTTACCTTCGTGCTCTCCCCACCTAACCCTGCCACCGGAGTGAGGAGATTCCTCGCCTGCTGGCCTCAAAAGCTGCCTTGCAGCAGTAAGATCTGAGGAAGCTGGAGATCAGGTTATAACTGAGCAGCCAACAGACTGCAGGGGTTTTAGGAGTAACTAATCCGTGCCTCCCTTTGAAAAGCTTAATTAAATGTGCTAGTTCATGAATATTTGACTGCGGTGGAATTTCTCTCCCAGGCTCCATTGAGAACAAAACTAAAGAGCTCCAGCTGTTTATTTTTCCAGGAGAAGGAAAATGCCAACAAAACGACAAACAGTTAATTCCTTGGCTGAACGGAGACTTAAAACCACACAGTCACACCAGCTTCAGTCTCTCCCCCTTACAAAAATAAAAAGGAAACTCAAGACTGGAATACACACAAGTGTCTTGAGACAAATGCGTCTCTGCAGACAATAGCTTTTCTGTGAATCTGGTCCCGCCTTACAGCTGCTGCAGGCCTGTTTTCACAGCCACGGTTCAGGGCTCTGACCCAGCACACTGTGGGAGCAAGGCAAGAGAACAAACACTGCCTGGCAAACTTAGAAAAACACAATTCCAGTTCCCCATAGGTAAGGATGAAGGGTCTTTTGTTTAAGGACTGGGGAACAAAATACTTTCATCTTTCCATCGTGGGGCTAAGACAGGTATTTGTGGTGCTTTTCTCCCTCCTCTAAGGAGACCTGAATTTGGATTGCTACTGAAGCAGAAAGCAAGTGGCTGTTTGCAGTAACAAGCCAGGGCAGCAGCAGGGCTCAGAAGGCTTGAGGGGCTCGTGATGTGCTCCCAACTCACATAAATCACTGCACTTGGGCACCAGAGCACTGGGATTGTCACGGTCCAGTTGGTCACCCAGGCTCTTTCTCTCATGTCTAGCAAAGCCAGGGCTGAATTTTGAGGGTTTAACCTTTACTCTGGGTCTCAACTAAGGCCACCAACTCTCTGGCTGCCTTTCTGTTCTGATGGATATTAGAAAAGCAAAGGAAAAAAAAAAAGCACAATGACCAACTCTAGTCATTTAAACCAAAAATGCCTGTAGGGCTGATGGTTCCTATGGGATGCACGGTGGGAATCTCAGAGACCTGAACTGGGGACACGGGGGAAGGGTAGAGCCTCACCTCTCCCTTAGGCAGGATTTTCTGCTCATCCAGTTTAAAGGCAGTTCCTATTCTTCTCCTTACAATAGGTGGCTCCTCCCCAGGATCTAGGGGGTATTCTCGTGGCAGCTTTCCTGTGAGCTCCTGTAAGCAAAAAAACCCCACTGTTAGTCATCTGGGAAATCCTGCAGCAGAGCAAAGCACACCACCGCTCCTGAACTGTGACCGTAGAGTGGCAGGCACTCAGTACCAA